ACCTAATTATTGTGACAAAATGAGGTTCCTCGCTTCATTTCCAGCGCACAATGGCCACCAAAGTCTCTGGATACCAATCCGTTGGACTGTTGTGTCTGGAGTAATTTGGAAAGGAAGGTTGGCACTAAAAAATACCAAAGTGTCGATCACCTCAAGCAAGCGCTTCGCCGTTAATGAGCCAAAATACCGCAGAGCAACATTCGGGCAGCGTGTGATGGTTTCATTGGCCGTTTGAAGGCAATAATTCGTGCCAAGATGACCAATTCGAACAAATCTAAACTGATTCTAAAATTTGACGCTATTTCCGACATTTTTTGCTCTCATTCAATAAAATTTAAAAAAATTTAAAAATTAAGGCGTTTGACTTTGTTGCATTTTTTTATCTCACCCTGTACATAGCATGTAGGGTATATTAAGTTCGTCATTTCGTTTGCAACTCATCGAAATAAGAAATTTAGACATAACAAAATATATATTCTTAATTTTTCAGGATTGTTATTACGCTAGAGTCAAAAGCTAAATTTGTGCACTGATCAGTCTTTTGTCTGCAGGCAGGTCAAGTTCGAAAATGGAATATGATACCCCATGTAACGGAGTTTTCGGTATTTTTATGATTTTATCTATATTTTTCAATGAAATTGTCTAAAAATCCATACAAGAAGTTCTTTCTAAGCACTTTACCGCCTGGTAGAGAAATTTATATATAGGTCCACGATATCGTATAGCCCACATAGAACGGTACACCCCCCCCCTATTGGATATTTTGACGATTTTAGGGACATTATTCGTCGGAGTTGTTTCGAATTTCGTATTTATAATTCGGAATGGAAACTACAACATATGACAAAAAATTGCGTATGCAGGTCCACGTCTTCGTATAGCCTCCATACAACGGCACCTCACAATATTTAGTATTTTAATCATTTTAACGATATTATTAACCGGAGTTGTTTCAAGTCTCGTATTTAGAGTTAGTAATAGGAACTAGAGCCTATGACAGATTTTTTTTCAAGTTTCGTATTTGAATATTGTAATCGCTTATGACAAAAGTAATTTACTACTTTTCATAAGTAATTCTGCGCTCTTTTATACAAACTTGGCCCACTTTGCAGATCGCATCAAATTGAATATACAATGTTTCAGCAACATTTTCAATTCAATGGCCAATCAATTGATACAAAATGAATCGCGGTATGGGGGCCAATTTGCCTCCACGTTAATTGAACAAAATTGAGTCGCGAGATTGCAAAATATTTAACAAAATTGTTCTCAAACGAATTTCAAAAATTGGTTGAGCTATATTTGATAAGAAACATACGTACATATGTATGAATCGGGGTAGCTATATATAATGCCAAACAAAATGAAAAATACTAAACATATCATAAACATATGTATGTGCATGTATTAATACATGGAGCAAACATTAACACTTTATGACAGTGATCATGGGGGGTAATCGTGATGTAGATCCAGGAATATGCGCACATACATATCTGGGGGTTTATGTGTGTTTTGTTATTAAAAAATAAAGCGAACATTCTTCTAACAAATTGATATACGAATTTGTATATCAGTGAGATATCAGAGCAATTGAAACCGAATGATTAGCATTTTTTGAGACACTGGGAGAATAATAAAGAGAAAATAGAAAATTAATGTTACTGGTTTATATTTGTTTTAAATTGAGATTATGGCAAGTGACAGAGATTCTCAACATGGACAAATGCAGGCAGAAGTATCGGCATAGAAAATAGCTAAGCTAGCGTTTATTTTATTTATTTACCATATTAAAATCAGTAAGAAAAAATAAAAGTCGGGAGGTGCCGACTTTATGATACCCGAACCCACTATGCATATTTAGTAGAGTCACTTGTGGCGAATAAATGCTGATATTGACAATTTACGTATTATTTATGAATTAAGGCTTTAGACCGATTTAAAATTCAAATAGGTAAAAACTGACCCATAAAATCTATATCTTAATCGAAATCCACTAAACTCGACTGAGACAAATTTATGTTGTATGTCACCTCTCGAACTATATACCGTTGCAATGGTGTGCATGTTACAACTTTCAGAATACTTGAATATATATAATCGCATGAAACAACTTTATTTGATCAAATGTGGCATCCTTGATGTATTTACATCATATTAGAGGGTAATATGTATGGGAGATATATCCAAACCTGGACCGATCTCGACAAAATTAGTCAAAGATATCTTTAGGATGTACCTAATATCTTGTACCGGAAGTCCTTGTTATGGAGTGTATAATACGAATTCGGATGAAACATAAGTATGGGAGCTAGCTAGATAGTCTCTGCCAAAATCCACTCTATTAGCCATTTGGCACACAATATCCAAATCTAAAGCGATTTCGATAAAACTTGGCATTTCATTGTCATGAAATGCATACTAAGAATGTGGGGGATTTAAACACCTAATCGAATGAAACATACATATGGGGGCTATAGCTATATTTCAAACGATTTTCAACAAATTTAATGAACTTGCTTCTAGACAGAGGTGGGTCGTATTTTCCAAAATGCATTCTATTTGGCCGGATATTGACCATTTGGTGCCCAATAAACATGAAATCGAGTAAAGATGTGTGTGGGAGCTATATCCAAATCTGAACCGATCTCGTTAAAATTTCGACAGGGGTATTTCTGCACAAAATAAAAAAAATATTTATGGTAGCTATAGCTACACCTGAACCGATTTCGACCAAATTTGACACACTTTTTTCTACAGTTAATTTGATCGTATGTGCTAAATTCCATCCGGTTTGGACTAATATTACTAATCTGGTGTACAATTAAAAGCAAATCGAACGAAGCTATATATTTGGGCTATATCTGAATTCTGACCCATAATCTCTATAGGGTTTGTCCAAACGAATGACTTGTGCAAAGTTTCATCTAGATCGGGCAATAAGTATAACCTGTACTTTTTTACAAAAATACATGGGCAGACGGACGGACGGAAAATTGACTCAGAATGTGATTATGTGATGCAGACCATCAAAAGGAACTATGGGTCTATCCCGCCCCTATCTATATAAAGAAATACACAAAGACATTGTACCCTGACCACAGCGTTGGTTGCATGGTTGCGTAGACTTGAAAAAAAAAACAGTACAAAAGCAGCTAAGTTCGGCCGAGTCGAATTTTTAATACCCTCCGTCATTTCAAAGATCTTGCAAAATGTAAAAAGAATCCGTTGGAAAATGCCCATATAATTTTAAAAATTACAAAAATATCAGTTGGTATAGTTATATGGGCCTTTACGAGCGTACGAGCGTAGAGCTCAACAGTCTGGCAGCGAAGGTGGTGGCGATTACGAACTCCATACACCGAGCTTAAGATAATTCTGTTGAAAAATTTAGATAAAATTATCAAAATACCGAATATTGGGAGGCACCGCTATATGGGGGCTACGCGATGAGGTCAATTTGTTTGTGCAATTTTCCGAAAATGGCATCCATTGCCAACACCAAATTCCGAATTTGAAATATTTCTTGTAAAAAGTGTGACACAAACCATCGGAATACCGAATATCTAGAGGTACAGATATATATGGCCTATACGACCTCAACGACCGTGGACCTCTACAGATTATTATCTGCCAGAGAAGGTAGTGCCTATTATGAACTCCAAATACCAACGTTGTGATAGATTTGTTAAAAAATTAACTATAATCATAAAAAATACAATACATTAGGAGCTACTGTTATATGCGGGCTATCCAAAGCGTGGATATGTACAGAAAATGTTCCGTTGAAAAGTGTGACACAAATAATCGAAATACCGACCTAAAACAAATCTCAGTACAACTTTTGTTTTGTTCCAGTATCATAAAAGGAATAAAAGTTTTTCGATATCATAAAAGGAAAATCGGTTATCGTAGTAAAAAGGTTTACATTCTAGAAGTTCTGGAACAGACACAATATATATTTAATTGATATATAATTTATGAAACTTAATTCATTAAGGCTAGTATACAAATAACGTTAGTCATATGAAAACTTTCGGAAGCTAGAGTGATGTACACAGACGAATGGTCATCGCTCAATCAACATAGTTTTGTACTTTCTGACAACATATTTTTGTATCTATCGGAAAGATGTAATCACCGGCCTATGTGTCTTTGTACATGGTACAATAAAAAGATAAGGTAGAGCTACCAGCTGATTACAATTTTTTTCTAAGTGTGCCCGACTTCTGCCAATTTTGTGTATGTATTCATTGTTTTGAAAAATGAAAAAAAAATATTTTCAAAACCAATGATTGGAAGACACGTATATTTCTACTCGCGCTTTAGAGCTATTAACCAGTTTAGCCATGGAATTAAAAGTTTGAACAGTTTGGATCATATTATTGACAGAAAATCCAGACATTTCATTCATTTTTCGCGATATTTAACTCATTTTATACATCTAGAAAATATGAAAACAACCTTTTTTATACAATTTTGAATGAGCCTGACAGGAAGCTGGCATAGCCTCAGGGCTGTATTTCTGTACTTTTACGAAGCGGTTCAACCTCCTTATTGTACCACGTCTTTGTATAATTATACCTCAAATTTCAAAACATTATAAAAAATATGTTCCTTCGTTCCTATTTTCAGGGTAACCTCTATCTATTTAATTCGCAGTTTAAATCCACGGGGTGTGCTAAATCCGTTAAACTGCACACGTTTAATAAATTAAATAGTTACCCCACTTCAAACATACATATCCAGCTCTGCATTTCCCTAATCTCCCTTATTAAATTCGCAGTATGAATATACATTTTGATCTTTGAAATTCCCCTTTAAAATAAAAAAAATTTTCTTGAATGTTTTATTTCTCCACAGATTGGGAAACACTGGCCAACTGTTGCTCTATGCAGTGGGGTCTATTGTGTGCTCTCTTGCTCACAATTAATTGCGTTTTTTGTCCATTTTATTTGCTGTGGAATAGGTCACAATTAAAGACAAATCTCACAAGAAATTCATTCGTAGTTTAGCTGTCAAACAGTTAAGACGGTATTCGTAGAGAAATTTTAAAATAAAATAACTCGCCAAATAAAAAAAATGTCTAGTATAAATTTTAAAAGTTTAGAAGAATGTCTCGAAAAGCACATACCCGCCGATGAACTTAAAGAAGTGAAACGTATTCTTTATGGAAGATCAGATGAGTGAGTGCAGTTTCATTTTGGTCATATTGAAAACAAAAACATATACACTCAAATAAACAAATGTGCATGTGTAAATGGTGTATGCAAATTTCTAGAAAACCAAATTGGTGTGCTTTGTAGATTAGGTGATGCAATATGTCAAGAATAAGTGCAGGTGGTTGTTATCTTTGAAAACCTTAATAATCAGCTGAGTGTTCTTAAAAGATATCACGGTACAATTAATTCATGGTAACCTCATTTCAGATAACACTATCTGTGCATTTTCTGTAATTTACCTTGTCAAATTTATCTCCATAGAAAACAGAATCCCATATCTTGTTTGGATATAATCAATGGATTTTTGAATATTTTGGCATTGAGTTGTTGTGAGAGGTATAATTTTGAAAAAAAAAAGTGTAAACATATGATTGCACAAGCTTTGCTTCGTAATTCTGTCATAAGGGATTCAGAGGTATAAAATAGTACAATTACAATTTACCGGATTTAGTTCAGCCACTGGATTTAGATTTACACTTCCATTTCGTATATGTCAAATGAATCTGCATGAAAAAGGTGGTTAACCAAACAAAAGATCTAATGTAAATATACTACAAACAAGCCTGCAAATTAATACGTTCTTAAAAGGTAGCATTTTTTCTAACATAAGTAAGGGAATTGGCTTTCAATGTAAAATAAGAAAGTAATTTGGAGAAATCTATTTAACTTTCGGCCCATAATTTGAACTATGAAGCCAAGCTATAACTTAAAGTGCTTAGATGCTATTGAAGATGAACCCCTGGGTTTAACAGATCTATTGGGTTAATCTTGGGTGGCGCTCGGCTTATGTTTCTTTACGTATAAATAAAAATATAATAATAAAAAAATAAATAGCGAAAAATGATGTAACGAAAAATCTAACATGGAAACGAATCATGTTAAAAACAAGTGTTTTTTCGAATGGGTGACCGTCTACAAGGAAAATAATGAATCTTCGAATGTATAATCTTGAGCAAATACAGCATCGAAATAATAGTTTTAGGCCTAGCATGGTATGCAATATCAAGTAGCCCCCCATATAACGGTACCATTGATATTCGGTATTTTGATGATTGTAGCCAAACTTTGCAATGGAATTGTCTGAAAATCCACAAAAGAAGTTCTTATTAAGTATTTTACTCCCTGGAAGAGAATTTTCTAGATAGGTCCATATCGTATAGCCCCATACAACTGTACCCCCCTATATTCGAATTTTTGATGAATTTAGGGACATTATTCACCGTGGTTTTTATCAAGTTTCGAATTTGAATAATGTAATGGTCTATGACAAAAGTTGCCTATGCAAGTTCAAGTCTTCGTAGTGACCCCAAAATAACGGCGACGAATGTAAACAACGTCTAGGCGACTTTGGAGTGTATCGTAGTACCAATGTATTTCAAGCCAACCAATGAACTAAGTCAACATTGATGGCAATGGTTAGACTTGTCCAGACAAATAAAATCATGGTAGAAGAATGCAGGTAGATGAAGGTTCGGAGGATCGGAGGTTATTATAATATGCGTTTTTATAAAATTTTTACAAATTTGAATAATTTTTCATTCAAAAATTTCAATTTCAAAATTAGTTTGACAGTTCATTGTTCCAACCGCTGCGTCTATGCCATAAATTAAAAGTAAAATGAACCAGAAATATAATAATAACCCATTTCGCAACATTGTTCTCCAAAATACAAAACAGTTAAGGGACAAATACATTAAAGGTTTTTACTGGTTTAGGTCACTGCTGGCTTCTTCGGAACAAAGAAGAATATTGTAAACAAGTATAAATTATGGGCCATATTAAGTAATGTAGTAAAAGGCGAAACGCGTCGCATAGTGATGAGTGTGTGATGGTATCTATCTGGCTTTCCTTTTCACTGCAAACACAGGTCAACAAATGATGCTAAACAATATATACAAGGATCAAAAAATATATTGATAAAAATGTTGATTTAAATAAAAACTTATGCGAATGCCTGACAGCAATTCAGCAGCAATATTCGCAAATACATTAGAAATAGTTTCTGGCTCTTCGAAGCTAATCCATATTATTTCCCAAGTAGAATCTCTTCTCCAACAGGTGATCAGCATTTACGAGTTTGTTTTTGTTACCTCTGAAAGATGGACAGGCAAATTACTATCAAAAATATTGTTTACAATTTATATAAAGTTAAAGGCATACCTTGCTTTTTCTTGCAAATAAATCAAAAGGATTGCGTCCGTTTTTATGTGTGCTCGGCAAAAAAAAAAATGCAAGTTATTGCGTTATCGTACATTATCTCTGTCAGATGTTTTTTGTAAGTCAAAAAGCAGTGAATACAATAATTTAACACAAAATAAATTTATTTCGTGGGTTCAAATGGGTACAACCATTCTCATGCTAATCTTATTCTACTTTAAGTTATGATAGTTATAATCTGACAATTCTAAGTTCTTATCTTGTTCCCAATATAAAAGAACTGTGTTTCGCTTCAGCGTACTCTTTAATACGCAAAAAACTACGCATCATCATCGTCACAAATGTTATGACAATATTTTCTAGAATCGCCCCTAATATAAAATTCATACATACATATGTATGTACATATAAAATTAACAAACATATATAAATTATAATCATAAACTTTTGCAAATATCCCACACTGTGCCAGTATTTCATTATCTTTCTGTTCTGTTTTCCTTTTTTTATAAAGCGTTGTTGTTCTAAAACCTATCGATTACTTTTGTATATCTTTACAATTTCTTCTTTTTAATATTTTCGAATTTTATTACAATAACAATTTATAAGAAAACGTTTCTCCCATGCTTGACCTTCCGTCGTCCCACTATCGCTGGAGTGGCACGCGCATTCAATGTCTTGTCGGTTTTTCGAGCAATTTCCCAACCCAATAAATCTTTTCTTTTTTCTTTCTTTTGCTTTCGATTACTGCCAACCATCGGTTGGTCCACATTTCACACTTCCCCTATCGGTAACCAGTGGCCACTTATTTAGAAATAGATGAAATCTACACACAAGTGTTGGATTGTTTGTATATTTGTGTGAATGTATCTCACTGTGCGGCATTTGTTTATATACAAAGCTGTCGGGTAGCTTTGTTATAGTTCATGTTGTTTCATTCCGTTTGCTTTTCCTTTTGTTTGTGTACGAAATGGAATTGAAACATAACACTAGATGTAAGAGAACAGAAACAACTGAGAGGGTTAATTAGAGTTACCATCAGTATGTAAAAACTAATGTTGAGGATATGGATGGTAACAAGCATGGCACACTTGCAGAGAGTAGAACAATGCTATCTCCTAATTTTTTTGGTGCAGATTTGGCGTAGTGTCATTGTTTGACATTTGAACAATTGTTATTGTTTGCTAGTTAATAAAGTAAACCAGCAAGGAAAGGTCAAAAATCGGGCGGGCCGACTATATGATACCCTACACCACTATGCGTAGTTAGTAGAGCTCGCGAAACAAAAAAGTTTATATTGGGAATTAATGTTATGTAGATCATATCATCTATGAACCAAATAGCATTGCTGGATAGTGCCTGATATGACTTCGATAAGGATTATATTAAAAATATTTTTGGAGCAATAGATATAGCGGACCGAGTTCCACCAAATGGTAAAATTCGTTTGAATATGAAAAAAATCTATTAAATTTGGTCTGATATTATATGATATATATATCGAAGGTATATCGAAGCTACATAAAAATCTGAACCGATCTCGATAAAATTTGGTAGAGGTATTTTCGAGCAGTATCTGATGCCCGGTATCAAATATCATTGTTGTCGAGTGCATATTACGCATGTGCGCGACTTTAGCACCAAATCGGATGAAACATATATATGGGAACTATAGCTATATCTGAACCAATTTGTACCAAAAATTCGAAGCACGTGCTTTTAGTCTGAATTCCTTTGGAAATGCCAAAATTTGGGCTGTATTAGCCATTTCTGCACAAAAAACATCAAATCTGAACCGATCTTGATAAAATTAAACACTTATTTCTAAGCTCTATCTGATATCAAGTACCAAAAAATGTTGTTTTTGGGTTCATATTGCGCATGTGAGGAACTTAAAACCCTAAATCGGATAAAACATATTTATGGGAGCTATAGCTATATCTGAACCAATTTTTATCAAAAATTCGAAGCACGTGCTTTTAGGCTGAATTCCTTTGAAAGTGCCAAAATTTGGGCTGTATTGGCCATTTGGTGCACAACAAAAAAAAAAATGAAATCGTGAGCTATATTCACCGAACCGATCTTGATAAAATTTTAAACACTTATTTCTAAGCTCTATCTGATATCAAGTACCAAAAAATCGGATAAAACATATTTATGGGAGCTATATATGAACCGATTTTCCCCAAATTTGAAATACTTGTTTCTAGGACGAATTCAGTCGAAATTACCAAAATTCAGTCCATTTGAGGTGATATTAGCCATTTGTTGCCTAATAAACCTGATATCGGATAAAGATATTTATTGGAGCTATATCCTTATCTAATCCGATCTCGATAAAATCTAACAGAGGTATTTCTGGGCTATTTATGAAATCTGGTGCCAAATTTCATTCTTGTGGAGTGCAAATTACGCATGTGAGGGACTTAGAACCCAAATCGGATGAAACATATATATGGGAGCTATATGCCTGAACCGATTTTCTCCCAATTTGATGTACTTCAGGTTCAGGTCATTTAGATTGATATTGGCCATTTGTTGTACAATTAACCTGAAATCGGTTGAAGTTATATCTGGAAGCGATATATAAGTATGAACCGATTTTCACGAATTTCAATAGAGTTCATAAAAAATAATAATGCTGATTTTATCAATAAAATTATCTTCAGTGACGAGGTCCATTTCCATCTTGATGACTCCGTCAATAGAGAGAATTGTCGCATTCGAGGTGAGGAAAATCATCGAAAGATTCACGAAAAGCAAATGCATCCTCAACGTGTCACTATGTGATGTGATTTTGGGCTGGATGAATAATTTGACCTTTTTTATGAAAATGAGGCAGGTCAAGCGCAACCAGTCAATGGTGTTCGGTATCGTGGAATTATAACCAGCTTCTTTTGCCTACAATTGAAGAAATGAATGTGGAGGGCATGTGACTTCAAGAAGACGGCGCCTCATGTCATACAGCCAGAGAAACCATTTAATTGCTGCATCATTTCCCGATCGTTTTATTTCGCGTTTTAGAGACCAAATTGCCCTCATATATCGTGCGATATAACACCTTTCGATTTTTTTTCGATTTTACTCGACTCAAGCTTAAAAGATAAAATTGGACGCTGCATTTATAAAAAGAGGCAGCATTCATGCAAAACGGTAATTTAAAATATTAAAAAAATGGCGTGTGTGCCATACATAACCGATCACGATTTTTTTAATATCTGTGTTTTAAATAAAAAGGTCGAAAAACCCGAAAAATACCTGTGCTTCATTTATAATTTAAAAATTGCTTTCTTTTTCTTTCCCATCTACCTTATATCAAAGTATATATAAAATTGTATCTTATCATTTGTTAGAAAAAATACGCATAAACAATTGCCGTTACTATGAACCTCTTAGTCCTCAAATCAATAAAGAATAACTTTAAATGCAAATATATCAAATATAGTCTTAAAATAGATTAAAGGTAACAAATTATTTAATAAAATAAAGTCTAATTTTAATTTCAGCAATGTTCTGGAACTTCCAGCTGAGGCCAAAAATATTGCAGCCGAAAATGGTTTTGAAATCAAAGGTTATCGGATCCTCGCCAAGGAGGAACAAATGCGTAAACCGCGTCTTGTAAAAATAGGTGCCATTCAAAACTCCATAGTACTGCCCACAACTGCACCATTGGAAAAGCAACGCGAGGCCATATGGAGGAAAGTGACGACAATGATAAAGGCAGCTGCAGCAGCCGGTGTAAATGTTGTCTGTATGCAGGAGGCATGGAGTGAGTTTTAAAAAATTAAACATAACAATAAAATATTATAATTTTTGTTTTCTTCCAGCCATGCCATTTGCCTTCTGTACCCGCGAAAAATTCCCTTGGTGTGATTTTGCCGAAGAAGCTGAAAATGGCCCAACCACGAAAATGTTACAGGAACTAGCCAAAGCATATAATATGGTCATAATTTCATCCATATTGGAACGTGATGTTGAGCATGGTGACACAATTTGGAACACTGCCGTTGTTATTTCCAATCATGGTCGTTATATGGGTAAACATCGTAAAAATCACATTCCTCGTGTGGGTGATTTCAATGAAGCCACCTATTATTTGGAGGGTAACACCGGACACCCGGTATTTGAAACAGATTTCGGTAAAATTGCCATAAATATTTGCTATGGACGACATCATCCACAAAATTGGATGATGTTTGGTTTGAATGGTGCAGAAATTGTTTTTAATCCATCGGCCACAGTGGGTGCGCTGAGTGAACCTTTATGGTCTATTGAAGCCCGTAATGCTGCCATTGCGAATAGTTATTTCTCTGTAGCAATTAATCGTGTTGGCAACGAAGAATTTCCCAATGAATATACATCGGGTGATGGCAAACCGGCACATAAAGTATTCGGTCCCTTTTATGGTTCCAGTTATGTGGCGGCGCCAGATGGTACCAGAACGCCGGTAAGTTTATAAGGAGTTTTATTTTTAAATTTATATATGATAGCTGTTCGTTAAAGTGCAACAAATAAGAGAACTCCATTTCGAGAAATTAACCTACCTTTTGTGAAAAATATTTTATTATATGGGCGAGAAGAAGGAATGATTTCAGTCGTTTTCGCTCTCTCCCATGGTAGAAGAATACAGGTAGTCGCATCGACACAGCTGCTGTGACAATGAACTGTCAAACCGATTTTGGAATTGAAAATGTTGAATGAAAAATTATTGAAATTTGTAAAAACTGTTCAAAAATGCGTATTATAACAAACTCCGAATTGCGTCGTATAGGAAAACTTTTAAAAAATTACTTATTTTTGATAAAACATTTTAAGCATTTTGACATATTAATGTTCCCAAGCGTTGATGCATCTACCTATATTATTCTACCTTGCTCTCTCCTTAGTAATCCACTGAAAAATTATTGAAATTTGTAAAAACTGTTCAAAAATGCGTATTATAACAAACTCCGAATTGCGTCGTATAGGAAAACTTATAAAAAATTACTTATTTTTGATAAAACATTTTAAGCATTTTGACATATAGATGCGTTGATGCATCTACCTATATTATTCTACCATGCTCTCTCCTAAGTAATCCACTTTTCCAGTATGCAGTCACTTCACTTCTTAAAACAATAAAACCTTGTGTAAATGGGGGTTCATTGTTTCATTATCTCAATGATTCCTCTTGTTAGAGTTGCCGATGTGCTGAAAATGTACAAACATGTGGGAAGTTTCTGACATCTAACAAAGAGGTCCTTTGAAATACCATTTGTCAGCTGTATCATTTAGCATCTACCTATTACTCTTTTAAAGTATTCTTTAGCTTTAAAAACGGATGCGCCCAGAAAGTACAGTTATATTAATTAATGTTTCCACATTCGTCTTTTTTTCAGAGTCTGTCACGTGATCAAGATGGCCTGCTAATAACTGAAGTTGATTTGAATTTGTGCCGCCAAATCAAAGATTTCTGGACATTCCGTATGACCCAAAGACTTGACATGTATGCAGAGTCATTTAAACGGGCTTCCCAACTAGATTTTAAGCCACAAATTATTCGTGAATAGATAGTTATTATTAAATAATTAAGTAATTTGATATAAAAAATAAAAAAACAATACAAAAAATTCCAAAATAAAATAAAATCCAAAAAAAAAGAAGAAGAAAACATCTACTATAAATTTTGAATTTTATTCCTTATTATAATAGTTAACTAAACGATTGGCTTCCCGGTAACCAGACTCCACAGCTCCATGTACTGTGGAAAAATGATGCATACTTGTAGCCTCACCGGCAAACAAAAGAATAGGTTTAAAATTTTTGGAACACATGGTGGCAGCTGGTTTATTCTTTGAACTGTGACTGAAAATCGAATTCGAAGAACAACTTTGATGGCTAGGGATTTCTGGCATTCGAATTATCAAAGGTTGGCTCAACTGCATGGCAGAAACATTCAACTGTTCACTCAACATGGAACGAAATGAATAGGCCCCCAGGAAATTTGGATTTGATTGCCAGTGGCTAACTTGTATATTCAAGGGTTCAGGTATTTCCCATTGCCACAGGAAACGTCTTAGCAAATACATGCAACCTGCAATTACCTGATCCTCTGGCATGTTTTCTAATTTCAAAACATAGGAACCCACAATCCAGGCCAATAGGATCCGCGGTTGATAGTTAACACAATAGAAGCCAAAAATCTCTTCCACCCATTCGTATGGAGTTCGCTGCAAATCTTCTAGGTCTTTCTTTAACCATAACATTGTAAAGCCATACCAATTTTCTGGCCAAAATCGGTTGGGAAATTCAAGGAAAATTTTACCCACACTTCCATAACCCAGACCCACAATGGCTAACTTCTTTTGCAGCGGCAAAGGCGGATGAAACATCGACTCCAGTTTTTCCTTAAGAACGCCCAAGGACACAGTTATGACCACATGGTCGGCCTCATATTCATATAAGCCATTTGCACAACGAACAATTGCCTTACCATTGTCCAGATTCCATTGGATTTGATCCACAGGGCAGTTGAATTTAAGCCGTTCCTCTAATTGGCCAAAGTGATACTCCTCATTGGAACCCATTAGCATGTGTAAGAAACGCACATAGCCCTTATCCTTCCAATTCAGCAGATAATCTCCCGGACATTGCCAATAATCATGGATACCCTTGGCTGATACCTCATCCATGCCGGAAGCTGTTTCTGAACTCTCAATTTTTTTGAAATTCTCCAAAAATTCCCAGGCCACTTCTTCGTTGATTTTCGAATCACTTAAACTGCCTACAACCTCTTGAAAACGTTCACTCAGAAAATCTCCAAATGAACCCTTGAAACTAAACATATCCTCTGCATGGTTTTCCAAAATGTTTCTCAGCATCTCCTTGAGGCGATTCGTTGTCTCTTTAGTTAGTACTTCACCATTGGAGCGAATGCACTCGAAGGTATAATAAATTTCGCCGGTCGTCTCGAGACAATCATTCTGCTGCACCATTTCATAGACAACGTTACCCTCCTGCCCATGCACCCATTGGGCGCCAAAATCAATGACATTGTCCCCAAATTGCTGGGTATGAATTCGACCACCAATACGATTTTCTGCTTCGAGTATTGAAATGTTCTCAAATCCAAATTCCATTAGTTTGGTGGCACATGACAAGCCAGCCGCCCCGGCACCTATAATAATTATTCGTGGATCGTCGTAGGTCATCCGAATGGGCATTAAACTACTTTTCGCCGCAACCAATGAACTTTCTATACTGAATGCGGAGTCATTGGCTATTAGGCGTGATATTCTACTTTTAGATTTACGCTTACTTTTGCGAAAATATTTATGAAAAAATGAACAAAAACACATTTTGTTTGGATTTGCGGATGTTTTACATTTTTGTTGACTGAAATTTGTCTTTTTTATTTTAACTTTAATTTGTATTCTAATGAAAATATTTTCTTCCAACACCATTTCCAGAAAACAATTTAAATTGTGAGTTATATAAAATATTTTCGGTAGTGTAAACCTTACAGTGAATTTATTCGGCTATTATAAGGAGCACGTTCAGGCTACTAAATCCACTTGATTGTCAATTCCATAGAGTATTCGTTCTTAAATCGTATTCATGAATCCAGTGGATACTATTTGACGTATATACAACTGACATTTGAGATCGAGTGGATTTCGTAAATCTAAACGTAATTTTAGGGTGAACCGAACCAAATTTCTTGTTTAATTGAAGTCAAATTAAAACTCCAGAGTGACTCTGTTAAAGTAGCAAAATTAAGCGAAGTTTTGACTGCTTTGGCATATAGGGTGGCATATGACTAAGCAGTCGTGTTCCTTTGTAAATTGACATTGATGATGTCGAGCTACTTATACAGGGTTGGCCATATTCGACGGACCCATCTGGCAACGCCATAACTTTTGACAGAGATGTCACATCGCTTAATGACATACCGCGTTTGAAGCGTCAGTCCAAGCAGATTTTTACCATGAACCAATACACGCCACGCGAGCGCTCTGAAATTTACATTCAACAGAAGAAGTCAATTGTTAAAACCTGGGCAACCCTGTATATAATCGCTTTTATCAGTAGTTGGTAACACAATAATTTTTCTACTCCAGAGCTGCAATTTTTAATGCGATGACCAATTTTTCCTTTATGATGTCGAAAAAAGTTGCAAAAATTTTAGATTCTTGCAAGTTGTGGAATAGAGCAATTAACTTAAATTTTTGCAAAAGAAAAAAAGGATTTTAGACAGTATTTTCTCTGGGAGTCTAAAAATTTTCGCAAAATCCAAAAATTTAGTTGCACTTCAAAGGAATAAGGAAAAAATGCAACAATTGGTTTTGTATGTATGGGTATTGGAGAAAAACCACAAAACGTGAATAAAATATTGACATTATTTCGCAAAATTTAATCCATACCCTGCAAAGCAAAAAATATCCCAGAAATCACTTAAAAGACACACCTAAGCCATAGAAATCATCGTGGTTGATTCGCGAGAATTTCATCCTTGGGAAGAAATGAACGACGCCCGCTATAGTTTTAGTGTGATTAAACAGCGCACACAGCGTCACTTCTAATAATCACGGAAGCCACTTCCTCAAAAGTTATTGGAAGTAAAAAAAAAATAATTATATTCTTTCTTAATTTTTATTGGTACTTTTTCCAATGTATGCTTAAATTGAACTTAAGGTGAGAGTACATAAAAAGCTTTTTTGACTGGCTTAGGGCTGTTGCCTTTTCCACGATTTTCATGCGATTGCCTGAAGCGTTGAGAGATTTGGACCTACAGATAAGAACTATACATTCAGTTGAATGATATGAAAGCATTAAAAATAAATATTTTAAGAACTATTCTTCTGCATTTTTAATATAATAATCCAACTTCTAAAAATAAACATTTTTGATTTTAATACAGTTTTTTGAAAAATGATTTTTTTCTTTACATTTTTGGACATATAATTCTGACACTTGTATTACGTACAAAAGAAAATTTTATGTGTGGTTGTTGTTACGTTTGTTGTACAACAACTCTTGCTGTTACCTGTATATTCTACCATGGCGTTTCCGACTACTGTCAATTTTGTGTATGTATTTATTTATTTTGAAAAAACAAGTAAAAAAACAGTAAGTTTGGCCGGGCCAAACTTTTAATACCCTCCACCTTAGGGTAAAAGAAACATTAGAAGAAATGTGGCAAAAACCATTAAAATGCCGAATATCGGGAGGTACCGTTATATGGGGGCTACACCAAAACGTGGACCTATAATTACAATGTTTCGCCACACGAACTAGGACCCATTATAACCCACAAATACCAATTTTAAGACAAATCAGTGAAAAAATGTGGCAAAAACCATCAAAATACCGAATATCGGGAGGTACTGTTATATGTGAGCTATATCAAATCATGGACCCATGCATGCAATGTTTCGCCACCGAAGCTGGAACCGATTATGACCAACAAATACCAATTTTCACACAAATCCGTGAAAAAATGTGGCATAAATCATCAAAATACCGAATATCGGGAGGTACCGTTATATGGGGACTATACCAGAACGTGGACCGATATATCTCATTTTCAATACCAACCATCCTAGACACAATGTAAATAGCTCTGCTAAATTTTGGCGCTCTACGTCAAATAATGGGCTGTATCGTGATTTCAACAGACGGACGGACAGACAGACAGACAGACAGACGGACAGACGGACAGACAGACAGACGGACATCGTTAAATCGACTTAGAATTTTGTGCTGATTATGAATATATATACTTTATGGGGTCTAAGACGAATATTTAATGATGTTACAAACGGAATGACAAAGTTAATATACCCTCCTTTCCAAGGTGGAGGGTATAATAACAAAATATTTTCAAAATTAATGATTGGAAGTATTAATGATATTAACAAGATTTTTGAGAGAACATCCAGGCATTTTACTCATTTCAAAAATGAATCAAATAAATGAGAACAACTTTTGGCGTATAATTTTGAATTATTCTGACGGGAAGCTGTTCTACCTCCTTATTTTACCATGAGATTTGACAAGTTTTTTTTGTAAAACTAACTGGTAGTCGCTGCTTTTTCACAACGGCATCTTCATTATACCCTCCACCTTGGAAAGGAGGGTATATTAACTTTGTCATTCCGTTTGTTACATCCTTAAATATTCGTCGTAGACCCCATAAAGTACATATATTCTAAGTCGATTTAACGATGTCCGTCAGTCTGTCCGCCTGTCTGTTGAAATCACGATACTGCCCACATTTTTTGACGTAGAGCGCCAAAATTTAGCAGAGCAATTTGTATTATGTCTAGGATGGTTGGTATTGAAAATGAGATATATCGGTCCACGTTCTGGTATAGTCCCCATATAACGGTACCTCCCGATATTCGGTATTTTGATGATTTATGCCACATTTTTCACGGATTTGTCTGAAAATTGTTATTTTTAGGTCATAATGGTACCTCCCGATATTCGATATTTTGATTATTTTTGCCACATTTTTTTAACGGATTTGTCTAAAAATTGGTATTTGTTGGTCGTAATGTGTTCCAGCTCCGGTGGCGAAACATTGCATGTGTGGGTCCATGATTTGGTATAGCCCCCATATAACGGTACCTCCCGATATTCGTTATTTTGATGGTTTTTGCCACATTTTTTCACTGATTTGTCTAAAAATTGATAATTGTAGGTCATAATGGGTTCTAGCTCCGTTGGCGGAACCTTGCATGTGTAGGTCCACGATTTGGTATAGCCCCCATATAACGGTACCTCCCGATATTCGGCATTTTAATGGTTTTTGCCACATTTCTTCTAATATTTCCTTTACCCTATTAAATGTTTGGCCCGGCCGAACTTAATGTTTTTTTTACTTGTTTTAGTTTAGAAATAATAAACAAAACGAATTTCTAATTAATTTCGTGAAATAAATCTATAATTCAGTCCTCCATTTTAAAATAAACGATTTCCATTATCCATTTTTATACCCTCCACCATACTATGGAGGGTGTATTAACTTTGTCATTCCGTTTGTAACTTCTCGAAATACTCATGTCAGACCCAAAAAAGTATATATATTCTTGATCAGCGTAAAATTCTAAGTCGATTTAGCGATGTCCGTTTGTCTGTCTATCTATTGTAATCACGCTATCTTTCGAACGAATTGAGATTGAAGGCAAGTTCGTAAATGAGCAATGTAGGTCCACGTTTTCATATAGCCCCCATATAACGGTACCTCCGAATTTCGGTTTTTTGATGATTTCAGCGAAATTATTCACCGGAATTGTTTCAAATTTGGTATTTGAAGTTCGAAATTAATACTACTACAGTCCAAGGCAGAAAATTGTCTGTACAGGTCCATGTCTTCGTATAGCCCCCATAAAGTTATACCTCCCGATATTCAGTATTTTGTTGATTGTGGCGACATTATTCACCGGAATTGTTTCAAAGATAGAAAATTATCTGTGCAGATCCACGTCTTCATTTAGCCCTCATATAACGGTACCTCCCAATGTTCGGTATTTTGATGATTTTAGCGTCATTATTCACCGGAGTAGTTTCAAATTACGTATTTAGAGTTCGTAATGGGAACTACAGTCTGTGACAGAAAATTGCCTATGCAGATACAGGTCTTCGCATAGGCCCCATGTATCAGTACCTCCCTATATTCGGTATTTTGATGATTTTAGCTACATTATACACAGTTTATTTCAAGTTTCGAATTTAAATATGGCTTATACCAAACAATGCCTATGTAGGTCCACGTCGTATAGACCCCAATATAACGGCTATCTTCCGTATTTTTTAAATTTTTACAGAATTTTTAAACGAATTTTATTTTTTGAAAATTTTTAAATTTATTCCAAATGGTGGAGGTTATTCCAAGTCCGACCTGGCCAAACTTACTGCTTTTTAACTTGTTTATATATCAGAAAGGTGTTATAACCGGCACAGATTTACAAAAAAAAAAAAAACTTTTAATGTCGACAACACATTTTTTTTTTTATTTATCGGAAAGATGTAATAACCGGATAGAACCTGCAAGAAGGGAAAATCGTTTATCGTAATAAAAACTTTTGCAGTTCTTGAACAAACCATATTTTATCGCATTTAAACACGAATAGATTGTAATTTACTATTTTAATCAATAAGAAACCTGATCCCCCAGCTATTCTCCTTTTATGTGGTTTAGTGAGTTCGTGTGGAGACTCTGGCTACAGCTGAGCTCATCTCAGCCGACGACAAAGCACCATTACACTTACTGCTGGTATGAGAATCTATTTGATGTATATACAATGGAAATTACAATTTAATTCCACTGGGCTTACTAAATCCCGTTGACAGTAATGCCACGTTTATATTAGAACATTTTGTAGGGTTAAGTATAAGCAATGGATATAACAATTTAATGCAAATCCAATGGGTTAACCCTTTTATATGAAAACGTACTGTAAACCTACTAAAAGATACAAACCTTGGGACCAACAATGCTCAAATATTCTCTCTGAACATATAAATATATTAACATTGTTTTATTTTTTTAATCTTT